TTTATTCACCAATATTGGACCGATTTGCCAACCCAGATTTTAGCGCTAAATCATTTTTTGGGCGGGGTTTTTTTTTTACATTTCAAAAATTCGATTTCCGTTAGAGGTCGGTCCGAACCCCGGTCCCTTTGTGCAAATTATTTTTTCGGTCCTGACCTTAAAGCTCCTAAAATTAGAAAAAAATTTTTGTCATTTTCCTTCAGTAAAAAAAAAATTTGCCGGCCAAGCTGGTTAACTATTACAAAATTATTTTTAAAACCCGGGGCGATAAATTCCGATCATAAATTTTCGCGGGGCCAGTTTGGGGTACGACACGTGTCGTAGGATAGGTTATTATATAAATGTCACAAAAGTTATCGGCAAAAATTGTCGGTGATCTACATATAGGGTAGGTATTTCGTAACACTGGAATACATTTCCTATAAGATCAAAATCTGGAAAAACTAGCTCAAAAATTGATTTTAAAAAATCGTATATACATTGAACTAATGTATAATAATAAGTTGCCCAAACCCGTTAAATGCTTATAGATTTTTTTAAACTTTTAACACATTTTTTTTTGTTGTAGATCACGAACCCCGGTGGTGTTTCTCTCAGATCAAAGGGAGCATGGACGAAGAGATGGTCACCGACGGTAAATTAATCATACTAATTACACATGTTTTTGCTTGTTTTTATTTTATCGATCCTAAATATAAAGGGGCTAGTTGGGAGGCCCAAGAGATCTCAATTCCCCCTAGAATCGTTTAAGATGAAGCACAATTTAGAGGGATAACCCCTGCCCCACCCTCACCTAAAAATGGAGGGGTTGTGGGCGTGTGATATCAGTTCCGGTTCTTGAGTTTTTTTTTTAGAAATAAGCATATTTGAGCTTGACTCTGTTACAAATTCTGGAATATTATTCCTAAACCCTGTTTTCAGACAATTTCTTTCTTGGGATTTTGTTGTATTATATATGTATGTAAATTAATCTAGGACTTTATACACGCTGGAAGACTTTCGGCAAGATCAGATCTTTCAAATTTTTTTAAAAAAAAGAAAAAGGCGAGATAAATTAAGTTTAAAAAGATTGGTTTTCAACCCCCCGACCACGTGACATTATCCCTTTAACTTGCTAGATTTTCTTTTTAAAACCATATTTAAAGGACTCTATTTTGTATTTTTCTTTAATTTGATTACCCCGAAATTGCCAAACACGATGTCGAGTCGATGATAATGAAGGATCATCGATCCCATCATATTCTTTAAAAAAAGAGGAGAGAGAGAGAGAACGTAACTAGAATACCAAAATCTCGTATAATATTTATTTAGTGGAGTTTAAAAGTCGACACTTAAATACTACTATTTTTTTTTGTTGTAAACAATCATAAATCACCGACTTATATAAAAAGAAAATAATCAATAATTTCCTTTTATTATAAAATTTATTTATTTTACGCGATAGACGATTTTAAGGGTTTTTTTTTGTATCTTAAGCTATCGTTATTATTAATAATAATTAATATATAACTTTAAATTTTTTATTAATTTTCCTAGCGGAAAAAAAATAATAATTGTATGACGTTTATTCCACGGGGGATTTAATGAAAATAAAAAATAACTTCATTTTTTTTTTTTTTTTTTTTTTTCCTTAACCATCCCCGATGATTTAATTTAAAAAATCGACTATGATTTTATTATATTCGCCCAAAAAAAATACAATTATATATTATCATTGCCAGAATCTACATGAGTGGGGGGGGGGGCGTAGGTGGATTTTGCTTCCATTTTTGGGTGGTTGGGGGGGGGGAGGTAGACTAGAGGCAGGATACATTTTTTGTAGGGCTATTTATTATAAATGCAATGATATTGTAAAATATCGACCAAATTTATATGTAGTAGTCATCATTTTTTCAAATAAAACTTATTTCCGGATAATTTTCTACCAGTTTTTTTAAATGTAATTTAAGGGTTGCACATTCTACCAGCAAATTCATATTCGTGCCAAACAATATACT